AAAAAAAAAAAAAAAAAAAAACCACCATGCAGCGAGTGCTACAAAGTAAGCTTCCTATCCCAAGTCAACTGCTGGACATTCCCCTAGGCGCACTGCTGGTGAGGCTGTGCTTGGAAAAGGCCTGAGAGCTGGGAGCAGAGGGCACCTCCGGCACAGGGCTGGACTGGCCCAGCCTGCGACATTCGCAGCTGGGACTAGGACACGTCTCAAGGCCCCAGTGCCTGATGAGTAGCGACACGGAGACCCGGACGCTCAAATCCAGTCTTCTCACCTGCATCCCCGAAGGGAGTTTAGATAACCAGCCCCACTTTCTTTTTCTGTTTTGTTTTGTTTTCTTCTGTTTTGTTTTGTTTTGCAGTATGGGGGTTGAACACAGGGCCTTTGCATTGAGCTACAGCCACAGCCCTTCTCAAATTTCTTTTTAAATTTTAAGACAAGGTCTCACCCAGTTGCCCAAACTCACAATCTTCCTGCCTCAGCCTCCCAGAGTGCTACAGTTATAGTTCAGCTTCTAACCAGACAGTGGAATAGCTGGTGCCCTGCCAGGACCCAGCCCTTGCCACGCCCTCAGCACGGCCTCCACCTGCTCTTCTGCTCTAAACTGCTACCTGCAGCTGCACACGTACCTCGGGCAAGGTCCTCTCCAGTGCCACCTGTCACTGCCCACAGGGAGGGCAGTGGGGCGGCGGGGGCAGGTGCACTGGCCAGCAAGGCCAGGTCCCCTCCAGCACCCTGCACTGCCAGAGATAAGAAGTGGCAGAGAAATGAGCATGGGAGGAGAACTGAGCTAGAGGCCCGCGGCCCACACAGTCTCCACATCAGCAACCACTTTCAGTAGAAAGCAGAAGTGGGCAGGGAGGTGGACGGGCATTGCTGTCACATAGGTGAGCTGGCTGCAGAGCCAAGGGTGTGGGGAGGAACACTGGCGGAGACCCCAGCCGCCACTGTCCCCGCAGGCCTGCACCAGCTGAGGGGAGGCCACAGGGCCAGAATGAGGAGGAGACAAAGGACAGATCTGCCCCAGACACACCCTAGGGAGGGGCTGTCCCTGGGTGGTGGCTGTCCCTCAACCGTCAGTGGGAAGAGGAGACTGCAGGGGCCCTCCCCGTGGCCACACCAACTGCAAACTGCATCCCAAGCAGGGATCCCGTGGCAACAGGAGCACGTTAACGGGAGAGGGGGCTGGAGAACTGATGGAGCTGGCCAGGAAGTCCCCTTCCCAGCACAGGAAGTCCCCTCCCCAGCACAGGAAGTGCCCTCCCCAGCACAGGAAGTCCGCTCCCCAGCACAGGAAGTGCCCTCCCCAGCACAGGAAGTCCACTCCCCAGCACAGGAAGTGCTCTCCCCAGCACAGGAAGTCCCGTCCTTGCAATCACAGGTGGGACCCAGACGCCACAGGGACAGGCGCTGAGCTCCTCTGGCTGAGCCAAGCCCGGAGCACCCTGCTTGGCTGTGGCACCACGAGGAATGTGGGATGTGCTGCTCCAGAGCACGCTGGGGTCTGCTTCATCCTCAAGCCACTTTGTGATGCCCAGAGCAGAGCAGACTGCACCCAGGAGGAGACCAGAGGTCAGAGAGGGCCCCGGTGCACCCCACACCACACAGGTTCAGGATGAGCTACAGGTGCCTTCCCAGGGCGGTTCCAGGTGCATTTTCCTGGGCTTCCTTCTATGGCTATGCTATTCTGCCTGTGAGGTTCGTGGCTGGTTTCATTCAAGGATTTGTCTTTTCATTTTATATTCAGCACCCAACAATTTGGAGCCACCTTCTGTGGCCTCCCCGAAGTCTTCACCCAGTTTGGAATGCCAGGCTGGGGGCTGGGTCAGCTTCATCTGCCTCTATTAGCTCATCCAGGGCCCTCTCGATGGGTGGAAATAAAGTAAATAAAGTAAGTGTACCTGACAACCGGAAAAAAAAAAATACCAGCAACTCAAAGGACAGAGAGTGCTGCGGTCTAAATGTTTGAGTTGCTCCAAAGCACACACGTTGCAGCCATGACCCCTGTTATAATTGTTGAGGGGGAAACTGATACTAAGGAGTGGGTGCTGTGATAGCAAATACCTGTGAGTGTGGACACAGCTCTGGAGTTCGGAAATAACTGGAGGCCCGAAGAATGTGGAGACCTATGCCAGAGAAAGCTATGCTGCCATAATGGAATCACCTAAGGGTGATTCTGTGAGGCCTCGGGCGGGGAAATCCCAGAGCTGTGGAGAAAGCGCCGTCTTCTCAGCGTGCCCACCTGACCCTGGACAGTGGCGGTGGCAGTGCAGACAGCTGAGGCCGTTCTGATGAGACCTCACGTGGCCATTGGAGTGTGCTGGTGAGCGGTGGAGGAAAGGCTGCGTTTGTTACCAGGTGGTGAGGCCACCAGTGAATCGCATCTGTGTCCCAGTATTTTGCAAAAGGTAGAACTTGCAGGTGATGAACCTGGACACTGGGCTGAGGCCGTGTATAAGCAGGGCACTGAAGGAGCAGCCTGGTGTCCCTTCATTGCTTCTTAGTGCAGTGTTTTCATCGAAGGGAAGCAGCACTTAAAGATTTGGAAACCGCTCAGCCCCGTCCAGACTGA